GTAAATACAGAAATAACTATATTTATTGTACATGTGTTTCGATATAGTTTTATATTCTCGTCAAGATTCTACCCTGTAAAATATAATTAATTTAATAAATTACTAAAGAATTCCGAAAATTACCAACACTTGAATAGTTAGTGCGTTATTCTTAATAATAATAATAATGTGAATTGACATTTAAAAAGAATAAATATTTTATAATTTCTGTGTTGGCTAAAATTTTCCAGTAATTTCCATAATTACTAATATTTCAGAGAGTAGAGTCTTTCTCTTTGGCTGTTCATAACTCATGCTGATACCACTAATGCCAAACTTTGTAAAAGCGCATATAGCTCGCTTTCACTAACACCTCACTCCGTATGACTCCTAGAAGAAATACATCATCAGCAAAGACCATAAAGCAACTCCTACTACCACTTAAAATCTCGTTTATCCTTCGCAAATAACTTTTCTTAATAAACTTTGTCTCAAACATATATGAAACCGATCTAAACATGTCTATAGATACTTACTAACACCCAAAAGGTCTTTAATGACAAGTCAGTAGCACTCATCGTGTCTTCATTAACACTCACAGAAAGATTCAATCTACTCATTCATACACGACTCCATTAGTTTTGTTCAACATATTTATCTCGAAAATACCTCAAAATATGAGAGAAGTTTGCAAATAAAAACTCACTTTAAAACTTTTTAAAATAAAGAGAAACTGCATAGAAACATTCATTAAGGCTGAAAAACATTAAATTCACCGGTAAATAACATTTGCTATACATTCACTAGCACTCACACAGATGAAATTCCTTTATTGGAGAACAATTCGAGATATGTTGCTATGAATTGTAATTAATAAATGTCTTAAAAACAAAAATGCAAGTACTTTTTTTTTGTAAGAAGCATTCATCTGTCTTGGAAACATTTTCAGAGTTATGACTTTAGAGCGGTAAATATTTTATGTTGCATGAAAAAAAAACTGCTTTTTGATGCAAAGTGGCGTAATAGTATTGTGTTTCCAAAATGAAGAAGTCATAAATATATAGGAGTTAGTTCATAATAATGAGGACCTACCATTTTCAATCATAACTTTGAGGTTATATCTGAGAGAAAAACGTTTGTATTTTTATTTTTAATATATTTTTAAATAAAACCTCATAACAACGTATCTCGAATTGTTTGTCAAGAAAAGAATTACATTTTTGCGTGCGTGTTAGTAAACATATAGAGAATGCTATCGACTGGTGAAGTTAATGTTTTCCAGTCTTAATGAATATTTCTATGTAGTTTCTCTTTATTTTAAAAGTTTTTAAATTGAGTTTTTACTTGCAAACTTCTTTCACATTCTGAGGTATTTTCGAGATAAATGTGTTCAAGAAACGAATATTATCGTTTATGAATGAGTAGATTGCATCTTTCTATGAGTGTTAGTAAGTGTCAATAGACATTTTTGAATCGGTTTCACATGTTTTCAGGACAAAGATTGTTAAGAAAAGTTATTTGAAAATGGCACTTATTCGCCTTAGACTATAACATCTGACGATCTGTAGGTTTTAGTATAGATAAGTTGGGGTGATTGCGCGAAACATAAGAGAGATTCTGGATAGTAGTGGGAATACGGGTCATTGTATAGTCTTTGCTGACGGTATATTTTTTGTACAAGTCGTACAACGTGAGTGTTAGTGAGCATTACTCGTCAACGCGTAGATGTTAGTGAAAGCGACCTATATGCACTTTTTCAAAGCTTAGAATAATTTTTTTTTTGTAAGAAAAAAAAACAGTGATATTTACGTGAAACAAATAAAGTAATTTCAATAGTTACTGAAATCTCATTGTAATTTCCGAAAGTGCTCAGTAATTTTTATAATTACTAATATTTTAGAAGAAAGAATCATTCTTTCATAATAAAATACAGTAAAATCTATGGCGCATAACTATAGAAAATTCTATATTCGGCGACATGTCCGAATAATTTCTGAAAGCTCTAAGAATAACTTGATGCTGAGCGTAAATAATTTGCATGTTTCTGTTTTTTCAGAAGTTTCCTAATGATGTTTGTATTGCTAAATTTTTCTTTGCTGAAAACGCAAGAAATTCCATTTTACAGATTGGTAATTACCTAAATTGTTTGGCAATAGCTTCCTAGTGACTGAGCAATTTCGGCTTAATTTACTTTTGTCCTAATGATAAGTTTGGGTAATTATTCTGAAATTTCGTAATTTATGAATAAATTTCCGAAGCTTCGTTTTTGATAGATGATTTCAGTGTGTCAAAAATTTTCATAGATTTGGAAATTCGTTTTTTTTTGAAAGCCTGAACATACTGCAATAAAGTTTTTTATCTAACTAATTAAACTGAATGTTTTTAACTTTTTTTATTTTAAAAACCGTTGTTTCTTCACTGAATTTGATTTGGTAAACAGCATATTTTGTGAAACTCATATCTATTTTCGAAGAAAATAGTAAGTGTAAGTTTTCAGTCGAAGTTTTACGGCTCCTCCCTTCTCCCTAGATCTTCATTACAGATGCCTAGCAACGGACTCCCCATTACAGACATTAGTGCCTCCCCGGGCTCTAACAACCATGGAAAGCGAAAGCCAAAAATTATTCTTAATGTTTCCATAGCAACGAGATATGAGACGTAGGTAATATTAGTGTTTTTTGTCATTCCGAAATGCAGTAGATTCTAGTAGTTTAGTCTAAATATTGCGGATTTACCACTATCTACATCATGCATCGTAGATATATTGTTATTGGGAGAAAATAAGCTATGGACTCGAGATATGTTTAATAATATAAATAAGTTTTTACAGTATAGCGAGGTTAAATGAATCAAATAAATTGTTAGATAAGTAATTAGAAATGCGAACAATTTCGAAATGATAAAACTTCAAAGCGCGCGTATCGACTATAAAAATTATTTTAATTTTGATTACTTTTTTATTTCACATTTTTTAATAATAAATTATTTTAAAAGCCCTGACAATATAACATAAATTTATTAAAGTCACAGTTCGTAAGTTCCACACTTTGGTCCTGTAAGGAACCGTACTGAAAAGTTTTTTTAATATAATATTCATGTATGCCTGTTAATTTCTATCGTTTTTTTTGGTACAGGTTAGATAAAATAGACATTAATTAAATGATATTTTATTTGCTTTTGGATTTAGAATCGTGTTGATCACGACATTTAACATTAATCTCATTTGAAATATGCTCAATACAAGCGTAGCTTTTTGATCAAATCACAATGAGTGCTTTAAAGACACCTAAAAGCTTGTAACAGGATGAAAATATTATTTGACGTTCTAAATCAAGTTATATTTAGTGTGCTCATCGTAAGAATGAGAATCATATAGTTCAATGCACCTAATTTTTAGAGTGTATTTTTCAAGAGGCCATAAAACGACATCATTGTTTCTTCACCATGACATGTCTCAATGCTCCGATGAGAACGATTAAGTCTAATATGTTTACCATAGCAAACTGTTTACTTACATGAAAACTTTTTAGGAAGGTAATGAAAATTTCCACAGAGATAGTACGAAATTTGATAGCATCCGGCGTCGTTAGACTGGATATTAACGAAGAATTTTCAATTATTGGTACAGATGTACATTTCTCCCCACTTTTGCGGGATCTAACCATTGAATCTGCTCATCTGAGACAAACACAAGCCCCAATCTAGTGGATTATCGTTGCCGTCAAAAGATGAAAAACGATTTGTTTTTTATAATTCTCACACGACACGATTATGACTAAAAATAGGTTGTGATTACAGCGTTCGTTGTCAATTAATTAATTTAGTTTATTGATTAGTGCCGTCAAATTACTGTTCGCATATTGTATTTGATTTTTTTAATTATCTCACATGAATTGTTGTTTAATGCATATAGTTCTCAAATTCATATTCATGCTGTCGTAGAATGGTGGGGCTTCTTAATATCTTCTTCAAGTAGTTGTTCATCGAATTTATTCGATATATTCTTACTTAGAAACACAGATCTTTCTACGAGCTGATGTTTTTTTTACGCCTATTCGTGAGAAACGTCTTGCATTAAATTAATGTTTCCTATAGTCATATCATTTCGATAAATATAATTTTCTTTCCTTCTTATAAAGACAGTCTTTCAGCACTGACAAAATTCCGTGAATTCTGAACTCTAAAGAAGTGTAGAACTGAAACATTAATAAAAACAACAATAAGCAGTCATCAAGATGAGCACAAGACCCTTACAAACATCTATAGTCACACCTAACCCTTCAAGCTGATAGCATTTACTACAGATGAGAAACTCTAACAACAATATCATGCACTACTCTTCATGAAACACATGCCGAAAGAAAACATATATCCTTCACGAATATGTTTTCATTTGTATGAATATGAATAAAAGAAAGACTCAGGTTAGTAATAGAAAAAAGACAGTAAAATATAATAAAGTGATTGAGAAAATGTAAGTTTTCTAGATTCTCAACAAAGAATGTGCGTAGATTTTTTTTAAATTCTGTCATATATGTTTTTATCAATCGAATGAAATCTGAAAATTATACTACATAAGTAGGCGACGAGTTAAACCTATATAAAGCAACTAAGGTATATTAAAAAAGAAATAATGAGAGCGATAATACAACAACATTGCACAATTGAAAAACGACATCACAATGAAATAGAACAAATTTAATATTTGTTTTATCAAAGACTGATGAATTAAAAGAAGTATGATTAAAATTAGAAATGCATCAAGATAATAATTAAATAAGGGAGCATGAATAAATCGATCTATGTTTCTATTTATATCAAAAAGCTAATTTGATTCACAAATATCAGCTTAAGCATCAGCATGATGCATATTTTTTTCTTGAAATTTGATACTTCATTTATTTGATTTGTTCAAAAAGAAAAAGAAACTTTTGTTTCTGTGATTTGTAGGAGCAAAAATATTTTTTAGTTTTAATGCGTTGAAAAATTGTTTATTTTTTGAATAAATTTTGAATTCAAATTTATGATAAGAAGAGATATTTTGTAATATCATTTGGTAACATATTGTTTCTATGTGCATTAAATAGAATCATTAAGAATATTTGATATGCATGTTGATATTTTGTAAAATTTAATAATAATCCAATGAATACATATGTGGTTAAATCTATATTTACAATGAATTCATTTCGTATTTGTATAAATGAATAAAATGTAGCTAAATATGAAACCATATAAATCATAAACGATAGTTTTGGTCCCAAATAACCTTTAAATTTTAATGTATGAAGAAATATAGATATTGTTGTTGCAAAAGCACCAAATAAAAGTAATAAATAAATATGATAAATATTTTCTGGATCAACTCGATTAAAAAATCGAATATAATTTAAAAAGAATCCAATATAATGTTTTGCCCAAACATAGAACCATTTTGTTATATATGTAACAATGAAAAAAAATTTTTTATTTTTGTCTGTTTTAGTTTTATTTGAATTATATAATGAATCTCGAAAACTTGTTTTTGGCCATAATTGTCTTGGAATATAAGGTAAAAATACAAATAAATTATCAATTATAATTGATGAAGTAAGAAATGGATAAAATTTATTTGAATAGTATAACCATTGAAATAATAATAATGAAGCAAAAAATGAATTTTCAACAATAAATGGATACGATAGAGTACCACGATCAGAATAATAACCAGCATCACGTTTTGTACGTGATAAAAATGTAAATGTATATATAGCTGTTGTAGCTTGAAGTAAACCAGTTAGCGGTAAAGACCAAATTAAAAATGATGATTTAAATGAATCATAATTTTTAAAATATAGATAAAATGCAAAAAAATATTGAAGTAAATATGATAGACCAGTTAAACGATGAAGAATAAATTTACGTTGAAAAAATAGATGAAAAATAAGTTTGATAAAATATATAATTTTACCAAATATTATATTTAATATTTTAGCAATATATGGATTATTTTCAATTGGGATAGTTGAGTCAAGTGCGTTTGCATACGATATATCACCGACATGAGGCCCAAAATTTGCATCAGATGGATTGGAAGACATTATTGCAAAACTGTTGTTAAAAAAAAATTATCTATAGATAAAAAAAAAGATGTAATATAAATTCAACTAATTATAGGTTGTTGCTTGTTCGTTTATATATGAAGTGTATGTTGCTTACCTTTTAGATATGATTTACTTTTATTCATTATCATGTTACAGACAAAAGCAACTTACATGTGTTTATCATTGAGAAAAAGTCTACCATCCTGCTATCCTACTGCTTCTGTAAACTACTATGTGTAAGCTTTGACTTTGGATTTTTATATTGGAAATAACAGGACAATTTGCACCATATTCAAACTCCAAATATCAAATTATTTATGTTTGTTTGTACTAAATGTGAATTTAAACTGCGAACAAAAAAGTAGAGCACGTTAAAACAATAATTCATATAACAGAAGAAATAGTTGTCTTTTGACATTTATGTTGATTCGTCAAATACATAATAAAGTTCTCTTTCATGACTGAATAGCCTAATATCGACAATCAATGTCCTGTGAATACGTATTTTCAGATCGATAGGATTGAATTTCAATCACATGTTCATCAATATATTTAATTTCAAATGTCAAAAAAAAAGCTACATTCATATTCCTCACTATGGCGTGTGTCCTCTCGCATGTAACAAGTTATCTAATGAGTAAACATATTTTAGGTAAAGTGACTTATCCATTGAAACCGGATAGTCAGCACATCGTACTATTTACTCATTTCGTGCTTGAAAGAGCGAAGACAATCGTTCATAACTGTAAAAAAAATTTGATGCGTTGAATCTTAAGTTCTTTCATAAATATATTTGTAATAGTCAAAATGGCAATGAGGAAATTTTTTCAAAGTTTCTCAATGTTAGCCAAGGAATTCATATGCAAGAATTTTTCTAAGTCTAGAATTTGATCGAATTCGGAATAGCTTCAATCCTAAAACGACTTGGATTCGAACAAATCAAAAATTTGTGTATTCCAAAATCATTCTTCGAGTCTTGATTCATCTATATTTTCTTCAGACATTGCTCATAACAATTAAGTCAAACGATGTGTTTATGATCTTAATCAGACTTTAAATTGAAGCCTATTTCATTAAGTCAATAACAATGACGATAAATCCAAGATCCTGTCAAATCTCCAGTCATCAGTATTCCATGACTTGATTCTGTTGTCATTTGTCAATCAATGACAATATTTGAAAAATTGTATTGATCATGTCCAAAAACTTAGGTGAAAAACTCATTTCACGCGTCCATAACTTTTTAAAAATATTCACTATACATATCTATTTCGGTTTTTTTATGAATAAAAATAATGCAAGTTAAATAATGGTGGTCGTTGGCATATCTCTAGTCTTACCACATCGGTTTGTTTATTTATTTTTATGATAAAACTTGAATTTTCTGTTAGTTTCTTATCTATCTGATAGCTCCGAAGCTTAAACCAAAATTAACATTCACAAATTAGACTGAACTAGTAGCAAAAGGCAATTAACACTGCATGAGAGAGTCGTTTCGAATTACTCGAAACATAAACTTTTTTCGTAACCTTATGAATTATTTCATCCTATTCTGTTGTCACATGTTTTTAAGATAAGGTCGAAGTACTTGCTCTTCGTTCTTTCGACACAAAATGAAGCAGAGATTGTATTACATTTATGGTGTGGCCTAAGCAACTGATAACGGACGCAAATGTTTCTGATTAAAAGTATGTTAGTATAGCATATTTTCTTTATCTTGAAGTATATCGTCGAAAACGAATGTAATGTTTGCTTGATTGTGTGACGACGATTATTCCCTAGTGATTTTTCATAATAGTATGCTGCACATAAAAAGACCTTCTAGAGCTTGAATCGCAATTTATAGCTATCATATGATAGTGACTCAAGTTCCCTAAATACAGTATAAAATCGAAAAAAAAAATTATGTTCTTTATAAGTCATCGATCGAATGAGCGCATATTATCGTAATACAAAATCAAATCGCATATATATTCTTCAAAATCTTATGTTAAGGATGCTCTTGAGAAGACTAAAACACATGTACCATTGTTACTCAGACATTTCTTCATATAGGATAGGCTTATCTATTGACCATCATATTCTGATGAAAACCGAATGTTTCAAAAAGATCAATGAAGATTTATATTTAGCTTATCAAATATATTCGAACCATCAATAGTTAGGTGAACAAAGAATTAACCAAAACAAATGAATTAAATCAAATCATATTTTAAAAGTAAAGTCTGATTTATTCAATGTACTGCGAAAAGTTGTGTAGCAAAAGAAATCTAAGAGCGGACTTTGTATAATATGATCGCAGAACGAATACACTATATACGTAGCACAACTGAAAAATTAATAGAGAGTAACATAGAAAGAATAAAGTTTAAAGTGAAATTCGAACAGCTGTACTCATGTTTGCTGTGAAAGCTCCAATATGTATAGTGCCTATGGGCTAAATGGTGTCATTGATCTAATGTGATAGAACAAAGAAAAAGATGCCCTCTGCGAGATTGAACGCACACACTTGCTACCCAGGCAGATGTCCTGAGTCAATTAGACTAGAAAGGACATCTTACTCACTGTTTAGCGTCGGAGTGTATCATCACTGGTACTAACATCTTCCTCCTTCGCCCAATTCAACGCTGTTTGATGCGTTCGTATCGAGTGAGGACGGTAATGTATGTGCAGAAGGATATACACTGTTGCCCAACTTCTTCACCAATTGTGAGGCTATCAATCAATCTACCTGACTAATGCTCTTGCTCACACTAAAGTGTAGACTGAATGGCAACTAAGTTAAGACTGCGGTCTGCTCAGTGAAGTAGAAATCTTAGATAAAAAATACACCTACCGTGTATTGATGTTGATGATAAAGTTTTATTAATAAAATAAAACAAAATATTATAACAAGAGAAGCAGAGAAAAGGGAGATGGGAAATCACTACCAATAACTACTGGTGAAAAACCAATGATCCCTGATGGACCTAGAGAAAAAATACAGAAGCAGAGCAACTGGGAGGAGAAAGAGAAAAACCAATGACAAGTAACGAGAACCACTAGCGACAACAGAGTGACCTCTGTTGACTCTAACATGTTCGCATTGAAATTGTTCTTAACAATAAATTTGTGTTTTAACAGTCAGACATTGAAGTTGAAAGTTGAGATGAGAGTAAATCGAAGACTCTCACACTCTTATCTATTCAAAATAACTACGTGCATAGTAAATAATATATTATGAATATCGCACAGTTCATACAGCAATGAAGCACCAAAAGAATATTAAATAGAACAAAATAAATTTTGACTGTAATTCGAATTAATTTTTTTTTTGGTTTGATCAATGGTACTATATGTTAAAGACGACATAGCAAACATTTAATTTATATCGTGTTATGGAAAATAATAATTACTACTTAGTTCTTCAAAACTCCTTGAGACTATTTCTAAATAATTCTCAGTAAATATAAGTATTTGTATGATTATAAGAAAGGGAAATAAAACTTTTTAATTTTAATTTGTTTGATTTGCTTTTTCTCACTGAATCGGTCGATTTGATGCCATCAATGATCAAGTTATGTTGCTAATAAAATCTGAATATTAATATCAGAGTTCAACATTGCTAACATACTTTAATAGGTCTGTCACTTTCAAATTCTAAGAAATCTATTCAAAACTTTGGAAGTTGTAAGTCATTACAATTCATTACTTGCCCTACGCAGAAACACAAAATGAAGATTTTTCAATAAAAACTATTCATTTCTATTAAATTTATGGATTATTCGAAGTATGAATGACATTAGAAATCTATCGAATCGCATCCCTAGAGAAAGTACTGAGTTCAGGGTACCCATATACTGAGAAAGCTCTAGCAGGGTACCCAGTAGGGGTACTTTGAAAATTCTCAGTAATTTTACTGATGTATGTACTGTTTGAGGTACCCCTATATGTAGTCACTGAGTAAGTACCTGCATGGAAACACAAGCCTGTAACTTTACTGAGGAAAGCTCGATAGGGTACCCTAAATTTGTCGCGTTCTGTGTGGCGACTATTCATTCACCGTTTTCTTTTTTACGTACGGTTCTATATAAACAATTCGATAAATCATATTAAAACAATCAATTTTCATACTAATTTTTTCTAATTTATTTCTTGACTATTTCTTAGTCGAGAAAATGTCGATCTTGATCGTAAATTAAGATTGGACTGCTCTGAAACGGTCTAGGATCAACTCAAGTTGAGTCGAATCCCGACATTGTTCCTACTAAGTGTTTGGAATTGAAAAAATTAAACTAAATAAAATAAAAAACAATTTAGTAAACTATCTTAAGAAAGAGAAAAATTGTTAGAGTCAAAGGATAGATTCGATCCTGAACATACTGAAAATTTGGTAACAGTGTATCATAGAAATACTATACTATGGTACCGATTCAGTATTTAATTAGTACCTTCAGGTACTCAATTACTGTGCATGTTCCAGCCGGGTACCTGCCAAAGTACCACTTAGGTACCCACAAGTACCTGCAAGTACCTTGGTACCCAAAAGTTCCTGTGACATACTGGTATCAGGGTACTTTTTTGGGTACCCTTAACTCAGTATATTCTCTAGGGATGTGATCTGTCTCTAATGGTAATAACATAATCTTATCCTTAAGAAAAATAATAGATTTCAGTTGACCTTCTGAGTCAATAGGCTTTTGCCTTAATATTATTCCAACTGAGTTATGTTGATTTTTGATAATTTAAATTTTATTTTCATCTGTATGAATCTTAGTTTGAGTATGTATATGATGCAACATTAATTAAGTCAATAAGACTATTGAATTGATACTTTATATGGAGAAATTTAAAATTTTGATGAGCAATTAAACAATTATTTTCTATTGGTCATATTATTTTTATACAACAGAACAAGAGAGGGACAGAAGTCAATGAAGTATCTGTCAAAAAAATGATTCATTGTTACAAATCATGTTCAGATTATATCATGTTTCATAGTACCTAGTGAGACTAGG